TGTGTGTGTGTGTGTGTGTGTGTGTGTGTGTGTGTGTGTGTGTGTGTGCGCGCGTGTGCGTGTGCGTGTGTGTTTGTGTACTTGCTCGTGCTCTCAAACATGAAATGAAAATGGGAACTTGAACACATAATTTACACTAAACTGAATCAGGCGAAAGGCGTTCTTGACTTCCGCCGATTCCGCAGGAGCAGCAGTCGGCTCCCTCCAATCAGCGCGGAGTCTCGGCGGAGAAAGGAGTCGTTAGGAGGGTCTCCGAGCGCGCCCCTCACCTCCCCAGAGCCGCCGCCTGACGTCCCCACCAGGAGAGCGCGGCACAGAGCCCTCCCTAAGGTAAGTCCTGTCCTGAGGTCCGAGTCACGGGCCGAAGAATCGAATGCGTCGTGTTCAAAGTAGGAAGACATGCTCATAGTTTTATCGTTTTCTTCATCCTCTTTATCAGAATTTTAGTCTGAAATCTTTTCAATCCAAGAAAGTAAATGTCAGTCGGTGTTTTCTTCTTTTGTTCACAACACTTTGTATGTTCCCAGTTCGATCAGAACGCTGGTCAGTCCACTAGGAGACCTGCAGTTTCCAGTAGCATTTTTTATCTGGTGAGACAATGAAACTAGGCAAAAGCATAAGAAAAAGAATGGGAATTTCAAACAAAATTAAGATTGAGAAAGAGAGTTGTTCTAAACGAAGACCACAACTGCCTCCCGTGTGCCTGCTGTTGGTAGGGTCGACCCAGTGCTAGTCGACGTAGCGCCTCGACCTCCCCCATCGACACCTACCCACAGCTCTCCCGACTCCCACAACAGCTCATTGATGTGCTCGATCTGCCCATCGACTGAAATCACGGCAAGTCCCTCCCCTTTCTCCCTTTTCCTCCTTCCCTCGCCCCGTAATTGTCTGAATTATTTTCAGTCTCACTGCCATTCCCCTCTACGCTACGCCACGCACGCTCTTCGTCGCTTGTAGGGCCAACCACAACAATGTGGACACTATTGTTGTATCCAAAGCTTCTGTTGAACTCTCTTCTGTTGCAACTTTGTTTACTCAAGTTGTAGATCCTTATAGTTTTTTTTGTTTAGTTTTTTAGTATATAGGTATTTTCTGAAATAATGACAAAGCCCGCGTTCGCCTTAACTGGAACGGATAAAACGATTAAGGCCCGTGTATCTTTCTGCCCCGCATCCGTGTTTTTTGTTCATTAATTTAAGTATTTATTTATTTACATTCGCATTCACTCGTTAATTAGCGTGAGAATGTGGTGGCTCCTTGCCACTATTATGTATGCTGTACAGTAAATCTATAACTAAAGAAAAAACAGGCAAGAGGAAAGCAAAATTCAAAAACATCCAAAAGACGAGGGAAGAAAAGAGCAACATTCATGGGGTTGTAGCTTAAAGAACCAAGAGCCGGAAAAGGGAGAGGCTCCCTTATGGCACTCGATTGGTGCTCGGGACGTTTCGCTCGCGTCCCTCGCTGCCAAAGTCCCACGAGATGACTGCTGCTCGCCGACTTGATACCCATAGGTTACGACTGATCTCTAAGGATTATCATATGCCTTTGTCGAAAAGGTATGAATGAGAATGAATTTCTTCGCAGGGCAAAAGTGTTTGGCCAGCTTCAGTTGTATCTTCGTCAGAAATACATTTCTGACGAAAATATAATCGAAACCGGGCCAATGAATCTCTTGCACTGAGAACATATTCTCACCCGTACCATTTCCACACTTGTCGCAATGAACACTGCTCAGAACATGCCTACTTCTATGTTGTTCTTCTCACTTTGTACATATCCTTGCTACGCCTCCTCAAGAGAAAATTCTTAACTAGTGTCCCTCCGCTGTGCAGGCCTGTCCCTGGCCCCACGGCAGCTGTACACACACGTCCTAACGAATCCCTCTGTCCTGCAGGAGAGCGCGGAGGAGCGGCGCGTGGGGCGCATCAGGAGGGGGCGGCGCTCCCCCCGACCCTCTACCGACGACGACTACCTGCAGACGCCCCGCTGCACGCCCACGCCCAGCCCGCACACCACGCCCGAGCCCCCTAGCCAGGGGGAAGGCGGGGACGCGGAGCCACAGCAGGATGAGGGGGGCGGGGAGGGGCGGCTGGGGCACAGCGACCACAAGCGGCGCCAAAGGCTGGCTGCTTCCCTCCGCGACGCTCGCCGCCAGGAGAGCGCCGACGCCGCCGCCACCGCCGAAGCCGCCGAAGAGCGCGAGCGGCAAGGGTCGTCGGCAGGGTCGTCGGCAGGGAGCAGCGGCAGGGAGGGGGGCTCGGCGGGGACGAGGGGGGAGTTTTCCCTGATCGAGCACTACCCGCCGAGAGAGCGCCTCACCCTGAGCGGCTCCGACAGCGGCGGCAGCGGGAGCACGCCTCCTCCTACAGCTCCCCCGAGGGCTCCCCCGAGGGCTCCGACCGTGCTGTCCGAGGCGAAGGCGCCGGCGCAGCGCTCCCGCCTCGACTCCCCTCTGGCAGGCGGCGCCGTCGGCCGTCGCCACCACACCATCACGGCCCACGACCTGCGCACGGTGTCCAGCCTATCCAGGCTGGACTCGGCTAACCCGGCGATGCCCAAGCGGGGCGCCATCACACCCTGAGTGCGCGGCGCACGAGGGCTGCGACGCCGCGCGTCAAGCGGCACAAGCGCAGGAGCCTTCCTCTTAATTCCTTCGCTCTCAAAGCCGGTGTACATATCCTGTGAAATATCCTGTCACTGCGACGGCCAGGCCTTTGACCACTGAGGTCGAACTTGTTTGTGAAATATATCGAACTGCTTTCTGGCAGTGCAAGCAACTTAGAGGGCTAGTAAATAGCGATACGTGCTCTAGTCTGATTTTTGCACAAATGTTCCCGGCATATTTATGCGGGTTTTCCAAGAATGTGGTTATAACATCCATCATACTAATATCTTTTTATCTCTTTTTAGAGTCAAGAGTCACTGTTCTTCCTTCTTCGCATTAAAAGGAGGAGTCAGAGAAAGCAAAATAACGGGCGGCTGAACGAAAAGGCTGGTCAGTTTTTGTAACTTCCGCACTCAATCAGTTATTTTGGAAGATGGGAATAACTTGTAAATTATACTCCTTAAAAATTACTGATATTTCGATTAGAACAAACTGGAAGTTACTCGAAGTAACAGTCCTTCTCCTTCTATTTGGAATTGAGTGTAAGTTTGTTGGCCTCCGAGCTCGCTGCTTCTGCTTTGAATTGGAAAACATCTAATTTAGTAGAAGCTTACTTCCCCGTCGGCAACTTACCCGTTCCAAATGTTACTTGATACGTTGAGAAAATTGTAATAAATCCTTTACAGGTTGTGTTTGTTTGTTTATTTGCCACACAGCATAATTACATAGTTGATGCGGAAGGAAGCAATGAAAATTAAGTAACAAAGAGATAAATCAGTACATGGTTTAGTTACTTACCTTAGTGTATCACTGAAAATAAAACAAACAGATAATTGCAAATGCAAGGCTGGTACAGGGGATAGGGGGTAAATATGACAATCAAAAATATATTGTTCAGAAAAAATATTATTTATTATGAAATAAACTGCCATTATACAGAAATGTTTCTTACAAAAATCGACGATTTTTTCTAGTTTCCAGTTAATCAAACTGTATTCCCAGAAACGTCACAGGATTATGCACTAGATTTTTAAACTCAAGTGGAATTCTTTTTCATTTCTTTACTTTCTTTCTTCCATTCAACATTGTAGAAAGTAATATCTAAAAAATCTCATTACTACGAGAAAAGATTCCCCAAAAGAAAACACAAATATGATATATTCTGAACTGGCTGCAATTAGGTTTCGCAATTGCATTCTTGAAAGATGGTGGGGGGGTTTCATGCGAGGAAGTGAAGGGGAACGGGAGAGGGAGAGGGAGAGGGGGGAGAGGGAGGGGGAGAGTGAAAGGGAGAGGGGGGAGGGGAAACAGAAGAGGGAGTGGGGGAGGGGGGAGGAGGAGGGGGGAGGAGGGAGGAGGGAGGAGGGAGGAGGGAGGAGGGAGGAGGAGGAGGAGGAGGAGGAGGAGGAGGAGAGAGAGAGAGAGAGAGAGAGAGAGAGAGAGAGAGAGAGAGAGAGAGAGAGAGAGAGAGAGAGAGAGAGAGAGAGAGAGAGAGAGAGAGTGAGAGATAAAACTTTTAAATAACAACACCAAAGAACATAACAGATCTCTATTTTATATCACAATAAGTTGAGGAATATTTCTGGTCATACAGATAAAAATTTCATCACAGACTTCCAATCTCAATTAAATTGAAATGTCATGGTTCGTATCTAGAAGAAAGCTTCCTAATGTATCAGTGACATATGAATGAGTCCCAAAGGCCCGAGAGACAGGGTGAACCAAGAGTGCAAACTCTATAAATAAGGATTCTCTACAGGCATTTTCAACCATAAATTTAGATATCTCATCAGCACCTTTCTAAAGAAAATAAAATGTACCTGCATTTTGCACTGGTTTTCTTAAAATGTTCTGGAATTCATTTCATTTTGATGGCTTCAAAAGCTTGAAGAGTGCCCACTTCAACAGGGAGAGTAAAACAAAGGCCTGTAAGTGAAATGACCAAAACCCCCAAGATTATACAACTAAAATTTGTACGCGAGGAGAGACTTTAATGCATATATATATATAACTGTTCCTTCTAACAATCAAAAAAACACTTGTAGTTAGTTTTGTCACACACCTTCCTGAGAACTTTTTCCCTTTCAAACTCCCTTACTCAGCTGATAAAAAGCTTATTTGCATCTTGAACCTGACATACCGGTTTTTATCACTGGCCTACTTACACAAGCAATTCACAGTGGATATGTTGACAGACATGTATATACATATATATAAATATATATATACACTGCTAACATAGCAGATTTAAAATATGTAAATTGTATGGGTAATTTATTTGTCTTAAATTACATGCAATTTTCCCTTTTTACTGACAACTTAAAAGAGGACTTTTTTCAATGTACCACTGTCAATAATAAGAGTATTCACACCTCAGACAGAAGGCTTATACTAAAAAAAAAAGACACTAATCAGGAATATTTACAACAGATTTTTTTCTTTTCTCTTTTGTTCTCTTGAAAAAATAATATTTATTTTTGATAATCATGACATTCTTCCAGTATGAACTGAAAGCTCACCATCACAATTTATTCTAAAAACTTGTAATATTCACTAATTTCTGCAAACGCGCCTAAGACTTATCTGACGATACTACGCGCTTTGCCTTGTACTGTTTTATCACGTCGTTTTTTTGGATATAACTCATCTTCCTCATCAAGGTAACGCTTTGGAGGAGCAATAGTCCTGCCTGAAGATGTGCCACGCTCACTGAACCTAAACACAGCAGGAGTGCCAGTGCCCCCAGCATGTGTGGGAGAGGAAGACCCAGAGTGTGGTGGTGAAGTGCCAAATGCACCACTAGTGCGTCTGATGTCACTTCGCTCATGCCCCCCTCCTACAGCACCCATCTTTGGCATTCCAGACGATACGCTGTTCTTCATGGGCCTACGGTCTGCTGTCACATAGCCCCCAAAACCTGGGCCTTCCTCTATTGTGATGCTGTCGTCCTCTGGCGAAGAGTTCTCTAGTTGCTTCTTGGCAGTCCGAGGAATCTGGCCAGATGTTTGGTTCTTGGCAGGCATGATGAGTAGCACCTCAGCCGTGTCCTCATCAATGATGGCTGTCTGGCCAGAGGACTCAACTGCCTTCACCGGGTTCCCCACCTTGTCCACACCAAGGCTGCCTGTCATCACTGACTCTACTTTCTTGGACTGTGGAGAAGGAGCCATAGAGTGGGGATGAGATTTTGTAACTGGACTACATGGGAAAGCTGTCTTTGTGTTATTTATGTTCTGAACTGTTATATTGGAAGTATTTACATTTGATACGTACTGACTGGCAGCTGGAAAGTTTTTGGCCTGAGGATGGGAATGCAGGACCTGGGGGGTGTCAATACATTTACGAACAGGAGACTGCATGGGGAGACTTTTATTGGGAGACACCTGCATGATGTGGTTACCTTTCAGGTCACTATGAACTGTACCATTTACAACACTTACCACATTCTGCACCGACGTCTGAATTTTCTCCCTTGCCACCTGTTCCATTGCACCATTCATTTCTGGCACAGCCACTTTTTCATTACCTTTCACTACACTGGGCCCAGACTTCACCTGATTTAAACAGTTACTGCCATCATACTGGACCCCCATCATCTTGTTACTTGTTACACTTTCATCATCACTGTATACTGACTGAAGCAAAGTGAGTGCTGACATCTTACTTACACTGACCTCTGTGCCCTGGTGTGTTTCGCTGAGCTGCGCTGAATTGCTCTCTCTCATAGGAACTTTTTTTTGATCAACTTTGACTGGGAAAATGGCATCATCACTCGAGTACACCACCTGTCTTCTCACATTGTTCACCTGAGGAGATTGTGTTTCTTGTACAATTGTTGCATCACCTACTCTTGATGTTGGTATACCTTTTGCTTGTGAGTAAGATGTGCCTTGAAATTTCACTGAGTTCACTTGGCTTATACTACTAGAATTTGGTAACGTTTTCACTGGTGTGTAACTGGAGGGGGACTTGGACGTGGCTGGACTGATGGTGGGGGACTTTGTAGGTGTTATCTTTGAGGGCGTCACTCTATTCACCTTGATACAGGCAGTGCTGTCACTGCTTGGGAGAGTAGTGACTACTTCAGCACTGCTGGACATCTCCATCCTGTGGTTTTGTTCTCTTCCCACTCCATCAGCTTGGGTTAGAACGCCATCCTTAATGATGACCCTCTCTTGCTCCTTCTTCAGCTGCACATCTGGGGTCTTGCTGTCACCTGGTTTCCCCTGACCTGACACCTCTTTCTGGGCCTGGGAGGCATCACTGGCATGGGCTGTGCTTGTCCCTCCTTTGTCCTTCTTGTCATCGGAGCTGAAGTAGATGTCTGGGAGAGTGATGGAGCTGTGGTTGGGGTTGTGCTGCTCCATGAGGTTTCGAATCAGCTTTGCCATGGCTTCCCGCTTTCCCCTGACCACCTCGTGGGGGAACCACTCCGTGAGAGAGCGGATGGGGAAGGTGTAGTCTTTCAATGGGTGCTGGAAATGTAAATAACTTCAAGACTTTGTGCAAAATAGGCACACATAATGAAAATCCAATAAGAATCTGTATGAATTTCACAATACAGTAATATAAAGGTTCTTTTGTATCTTAGGAAAAATATATAGCTATTCAAATATCATACTAAAACTGATGAACAATGAAAATGGCATAACACCCAACATGCTACAGAAAAAACAATTTAGCTGAAGATAAGGAAACAACATATATTACCTGAATTTCATCCCATACATTATTGATAGGCATTAACAGCAATTATTATGTTGATGAAAATAAGAAACAAATGCTATAAAGAAATGCTACTCATTTTGTGATATCTGTTCAGGTAATCCATCAAATCACAAAAAGGATTATAGTAGTGCCTTTTAAAATCTGATCAAAAATTAAATATATACAAAGATATATGGATACAAAAAAGTAATCCCAGGGCACCTTACCTCAAAAAAACTCTCAGCAAATTGCAGCGTGTAAATCCCACAGTCAGAGTAGTTCATCTGCTGGGGGACACGAGGGCAGGCACCCTTCATTGTGTCTCTGCTGAAGAGCTTCTCGCTGCCTCGCCTGATCTTGTGCTCCACAGCCAGGTAGTCCCTCAAGGTTGCCACGATGCGTGAACGATTGGCACCAGTCAGGGAATCGAATATCAGGATGCAGGGCCTGGAGATGATAAATGTGAAGGGGATGAACTACCCACAGGGGTGGACAAATTCAATAAGACTGTCATGAAAAAAATTACATCCCAGTTTTTCTTTTTTAAATACTGTGTATCAATATCAATTTTCCATATCAAGTTTTGGTGACACCACACACACACATACACACACACACACACATGCCACGCGTATATTTCCAGTGCTTCTAACTTTTCACTCTAGCAGCTGGCTGTGAACAAAGCCTAGTGCACAGCTTGGTGTGGTGTGAGACATCCCATCACATGTGGGCTAAAAGGCAAATCCCACTCATAAAAAAGCAAGTTTCCCTCTTCCAAAGTGTCCTCCCTTCACACAACCTCCACGTTCAGAACTCACTGCTTAATAGCAGGTGGTGGGGTGGCTGCTTCCTTGGGCCCCTGTGCCTCTTCAGCCTTGCCTGCCTCCAGCTTGTTCTTCTTGGAGGCTGGGAGATCCTCCTCTTCCTCATCCTCCTCAAGTTCATCCTCCTCTCCCTCAGCCTCATCCCGATCGCTCCACTCACCATCATCAATGATAGGGATCTGCTGAAAAATAACAATAAAATTTGTCATTTAGAAAACTAGGAAAAGCTTGTAGCACTTCCACAATTTCATTACATGTATACATCCCCCAAAATAAACGATTCTAAAAACATACTGACAAATGTAAGCTAATATCAGTAAAGTAATGAAGAAGCACATCACTAACCTCAATTCTGTTTTTGGGCCTAGTAGATCTACGTCGCTTGGGTTTGTCAGATAGTGGCCGTGCCACAGGCTGGCCATCACAGATTCTGATTGGGGAATCTAAGCCGGGGAAGCATATTATTGCCAGAAACCAATGGGCACTGCAAAAGACAGGTGGAAAGATGAGAAGCAATATTCTTTTTTCTTATAAAAAAATTCTTATTTACAGGTTAAATGGAACCATACTCTAGGAATAGTAAGTCAAATTTTACCTGAATGAAGCATATACATATCAACCCCTTGGATCCAGGTAACATGACCATCACGAAAAAATATATTTTGAGGGCCAGGTGATGTGAATATGCTGTCATGGAAAAATTTGGGTGAGGGCTGGGGTGATGAGAACATGCTGTCAAGAGAATTTCAGCTAAAGGCCACTTTGAAAGGAATGACTTGCCACAAAGGCATAAGGCTCATGTAGGGTGATTACATTACGTGGGGATTTAGAAAGGGACATTATTTCTATCAATAAATTAGTGTGAAATGTACCACCAATAACAAAATGTTATTTAATTTTATTATTATGGACTACCTAGAGATGACATGTAGTTTGTACAAGGAAAACAGTCTATTACCATCAAATGGCAAAAAAAAAAAAAAAAAAAAAAAAAAAAAAAAAAAAAAAAAAAAAATGCTTATGCAGAATAAGAGATAATAACACTGCAAAGGGGACACAAGGAGTCTTGGTGCCACACATAAGTGCATGTATAGGCCAGGCTTACAAGCCTCACACCAGGGAGATTCACCACTCAAGTTAGCCTAAGGCCCAGATTTTGGGTCACATGTAGGGATGGAGCACCTAGATTGTATAGGTTAACGTACTGTTCATTAATAGGAATGATGATGAAATCCTTTTCAAAGATATCAACATTTTTTGTCCAGGACTTGACCCTCGCATGTCGTTTCTCTGCTGGGGAGAGCTTGGGATCATCCTCTGTGGTATGGGGTCTCCGGCCCCTCTTAGGTTTTGAGGTAAGCCGTTTGTAGAAGAATGTTGAGAAGACATGTGTGTGGCTGCGGTGAATCTCTGGCAGTTTGCTTTGGAGTAGCCATCTTCAGGGAAGGAAAATAGTTGGTTAGGTTCACTATCAGTAAAATAAAGATAGTAATGTTTCTTTCACATGAAAATAAGCCATGATAACACAGGAAATACTTAAACTGTCTTGAGTCAGTCTATATTACCCCATTCCTGACAGGCTTGGCATGTACATGGCATGTACATACATGTCATGCTCACTGTGAGTTTACTTGCTTAATTGTTTATACACATAGATGGCTACACTTGTACTAAGTCACCAGTGAGCTAATTAACCCATTCACGCCGGGTGTCACGTATACGTGACATGCCCACTGTGGGTTTACTTGTTTAATTGTTTTTACACATAGATGACTACGCTTGCACTTGTACGGCCTGTGTCGTCTGTTTATCCTTTTCCTTTAATTTATGAAAATATTTTACGTTATATTATTTTGCTATTAATAATGTTTATAACATTATAGTAATTATAATGTTTATAATAAAAATAACCATCGATATTCATAGTACTAGTAAAAATACATTTTCCCGCCAATTCAAGTAAAGGTGAAATCGTGTAAGGCAGAGCCATCTAGTGTAGAGACATTTCACAAAAAAAAAAAAAAAAAAAAAAAAAAAAAAAAAAAAAAAAAAAAAAAAAGCACAGCATTTTCCTAATTTTTTGTTCATTTTTACCCCTCACGAATGGGTTAAGAGTACTGCCTGTCTCGCAAGTTTACCCTTTTCAGTGATTTGCAAAAATATTTTACGTTATCATATTTTGCTGTTACAAATGTTTATAACATTATAGTAATTACAATGTTTATAATACAATAACACCATCGATATTTACAACACTAGTAAAAAATACGTTTTTCCCGCCAATTCAAGGAAAGGTGTAATCAGGTAGGGTCTCAAGATCTACTAACTGACTCCTTTGTGGCTAAGCACTAGCAGAGCCATCTATGTACATAGGCATTTCACAAAATATAAAAAATGAGCACAGTATTTTCCCATTTTTTATTCATTTTCCCCGGCGGCAATGGGTTAAAGATTAAAACCTGAGTGTTACCACATTATGAGATAACTTATCAAAATTCCAAGGCTTTAAACATCTAAACACTGGAGGTATATTTGATTATAGTTAGTGCTACATCATCATAATTCTAACATCATGCCAAACATGCTACAAAAACTTCTCTGCTGACAATGGAAATTTTCCTTTCCACAGGAATGTTTTAATTTCTGCAATTTATTAAACGGCTCTTCTTTACATCTTGCAGATGTGTCTTTCACAACCTACTCTAAATTCTTTACATATGCATCCACTAAAAAAAGAAGTTACTTACTTGAGGTAGAAATCAATGATAACATCATTGAGAAATTGCTCTTCCTCAAGGCAGCAGTAGTCATCTGTCGTGATAGATATTCCTCCCTTCTGCGGTGGCGGTGGGTATATGAGCAATCTATAACAAAATCAGTGAGAGAGTTAGGTAATTGTAAAAAAATAATGATAATAATAATGTGCTTTATATAATCATATACCTAATAACTGCACTCCTCTATTTGTTAAGTCAAAGAACAGGAAAAGTGACGAAACAGAAAAATACACTTACGTCTTGGTCTCATTAGCACCAGATGTGACAGGTGCCTTCTTTATCAAGCTCTGCACCTAGCAGGAACGCTCATTGTAGATCATATTTTACATAATGCAATCCTGTGCCCAGGCCACATTTTTGACAATATTCATATAGACATTTTAAATATATACCTTCTTCATCTGACATCCTTATAACTACAAAAATATAGCTCATTCATTATTCCTTTCTCATGCAAATATTGGAACAAAACACAAACCTCCATGGGTGAAGACCTGACCAGGATCTCGTTGGCCTCCTTCTGGTCAAGCTCCTCATACAGGTTGGCCCCAATATCCACTGAAGTCGTGCTTGTTCCAAGCCCACCATTAGGCTTGGGGTTTGATGCGCTCAGGATCTCCTTCACTAGCGACTTTGTCTCCTCTGACATCTTGTCAGGGAGGATTGTGATGCGCTTTTGTGACTCATCTGCAAGAGATAGTTGTTTCTAGATGTAACCTGATAAATTCTCCAAATGGATTGATGGTGGGGGACTTTGTGGGTGTTATCTTTGAGGGCGTCACTCTATTCACCTTGATACAGGCAGTGCTGTGATTGACTTACAAAGAAATACTAGTATCATTTTTCTGTAATACCCGTAAAAACAATAAGAACTCTATGTAATTAAATTTCACACATTTTATATGATCAAGGGAATTCTCATATCTGGGTATTTATCAAGAGACAATGCTAAATAACATCAGAAATTCTAGATCTGATTTACAAAAATCAATTATTTCGAAGCACAGCTTGCTACCATGAACATGAATTGTATTTACCTAAGTTCTTAACTTTTACTCTTATCATGATTTTACCTAATAATTTTGCTTGTGCTTCTTTATTGTTTCAATAACTATGCCTCTAATACATATCAATAATTAAAGTAACACAAGGTAACCAAACTAATTATGCTTTGAGATATTACTATGAAATAGTATGAGAGAAAACATTACCAACAAAGAGACAAGTGACCTGAACAAAGGAACATGATTCTGCAAGTCATGGATGGATTTTAGCAAATTGGCAACTTTTGCTGGTGATAATGATGTGTAAATTTGTCAGTGTTATTGCAGATGGTAAAATGGCCATTGGATGATACGAGCAGAACCAGTGTCAGAGCTGCCTGATCTTTTGGTCAACAGAACATTTATCATAAGAAAATGGTATTTTTTTCATGGCAGTTTCTGAGGTGTCAATGTAAAAGATCACTCCCTGAGGACATACTATTTTGTGTGTTTAAAATTATTTCCTAACTTACTACTTACTGCAATTATACAACTTACCGTAACTGCAAGGATCAAAGTAAAATCCATTTCTGTCTGACATTTTTAATATTCTTCTGATATTCGCAGCTGTGGAAGGTCTCACATATATAAAGAGAACAGGTAATGATCTCCCAAAATGAACCAGGATTTTCACAATACTTTTAATTGGAATGTCAAATGATACTGGTTCACTGGTATCTGCAAAGACAAAATAAAATCAGATATCAATTTGATATAAAAATTAATATGTAGATGTATATGAATACTTATATGCATATGAATACATGAATATATGTATATTTGCATGTATGCATGTGGGTAGGTATGTATATGCATGTCCATAGTTAATTATAGTTTGATTTAAAATACACTATTTACCTTCAATAACTGTGGGAAGCTTTAGGCGAAGACCTTGAGGCACAATCAATACCCTCTCTTTAGGCATGACCTTGTATGACCCAATGCGGATGCTTCTACATTGTATAGATGTGTATGGACCCTTTAAGGTGCCATCAACAAGGCTTTGGAGATCTGGCAATCCTCCACCTGGAAATATTTTATAGTAATAATAAAATTGAAAATGGCAAGTGGCAACGACAAAAAATTACTTCTTTCACTCTAAAATTAAACACACACTCACACACAGTAAATACAACATTAACAATAAAGATCATCCTCATCATCATCATCATAAAATGAAAAATAGAAAATAAATTTTGCCAACAGCAGCACCCACTGGTCTCACCTGTAACCCCCCCGCTAGCATCTTCCTTCGGCACATCATCCTTGAGGGTAATGATGGGTTCCTTGTGGCTGATGGGTTCCGGGGGGACCTTGGGGTGACTCGCTTCCAGGCTGGAGAAGACCCCATTCCCTG